AGTTGAAACAGTTGAGAAGAGCATATGGCGAGGAACAACGGTCTCCCACCATATCCTTCTCTATCTCCAGTATCAATCCTTTTTCATGTTTTCCAATTTTAGATATTATGATAATCCAACACCAAGTAACAACCTCTTATTTCTTTTTCTTATTATCTTTAGGTAATATCTATAATATTTCTTTCCCTTCTGAGGATTTTGCTCACTTACACTTCCCACCTTAACTTTCTGCCCATTTCTTCCCAAAGTTTAATAGTTATATTATTATTTCTAGCTGGGTTATTGTTACCTAAATTTAAATGATATATCTATATTTTTGTTCCATCAAGGAGTTAATAACTCTCTTCTATGTCAGATTAGTTATTTAGTGCCTATATCCTTCCCTTTAATTGTATTTCTTTCCTTCTATTTTTCATTTCTTTCAATTACAATTTTACTTATATCATTAAGAGAGTTTTTTACATTTATATTCTGATCTGCAGCCACAATGAAATATTCTGTGTTTTGCCCATTAGGATGATTCTAAAAAGTCTGAAAACTAATAAAGACATTCTTACATTATTATGATATTATATTACTGTTATTGTCATATACAGTATACAACACATATGTATACATTATTCCTGTCAATCTGAGGGGTATACTAGTTAGGATTATATTTTCTTTTCTACTGGTTCAATTTTTCTTTTCTATATTTTCTTTTCTACTCGTTCAAACTTGTTAAAGTTTTATACATCATCACTGCTTTAAGATCATGTCATATTTTATTTTGTTTCATGTTGAAATCATGACTTACTTTCTTGAACAATTCTGTTTTTCTTAACATTTCTAAATGCCTTTCTTTTATTGCTGTCAAAGTAATATAATTTTATCAAATCTCAAATTTTTTCATCTGCTACCTCATACCATCTGCTGCTTAAGATCTCCTTTTTCTTACCCCTGAGGTTTTGGTGTTCCAATCTGGAAAATCTGCTCCCTTGGCCTATCACACAACCACTATCTTAGAACTGTCTCTGCCACTTTCCTGGATCCCATGACATTTTCCTTCTTAATTTTTCTCCTATATTGCTGTAGTGTGTGCCCTCAAAATAATTTTAAAGGGGCAAGTTTCGGTTAAACTGGATCATTGCATATCTGAAAATGTCTTTATTCTTTCTTCTTATTTGATGGATAGTTTCAATGAATATAGAATTCCAAGTTCAAAACCATTTTCTTTCAGAAAGTTGAAGTCATTGCTCTTTTACATTTTAGCGCCCAGTGTTTATGATGAGAAATGCACTTATGTCACATCATCTCTTATCCCTAGTACGCTGAAATTTCTAAGGATATTTGATGTATGGATTTTTTTTCTTAAATCATTCATTATAGTTGGTTCTCAGTGAGCCCTTTCTACCTGAAGATATGTATTCTTTTTCAACACTGGGAAACTTTCTCCTGTTGTTTCTCTAACTACCTCTCCTCTTTGCCCTCTGTTGGTGTTCTGTGAAAAGAAATAGATGTTGGACCTCTGTAGAGGTTCTATATATGTTTTTAGGGATTTCTTTTATTTAAATATTGGCAGTTGTGGTAGTCTGAAAATACGTCCCCAAATTTTTTGATACTCTTCCCCTGAGGGGTGGAGTCTAACTCCTCTCTCCTTGAGTGCAGGCTAGATTTAGTGACTTGCTTCTAACTTGCAGAATTGACAATAGGTACCTCCAGAGCCCAAGTCATAAAAGACATCAGGGCTTCCTTCTTGCTCTTTCTTTTGGATCACTCCAGGAAAAGTCAATCACCATGTCACAGAACACTCAAGCAGCTCTACGGAAAAGCCCATGTGGCAAGGAACTAAGGCCACCAGTATGGAGCTAAGGCCTCCTGCCAACAGTCACCTAAGTGGGTACAGAAGTGAGGTCGCTAGCCCCAGGTAAGCTTTCTGATGACTGGCTGATATCTTGAATGCAACCTTATCACATACCCCAACCTAGAACCACCCAGCTAAGCTGCTCTTGAGTTCTTCACCCACCAAAAAGGCAAGATAATAAATGTTTTTTGCGTTAAGCCATTAAGTTTTGGGGTAACTTATCACACACCAACTGATAACTAATACAATAGGTGTTACACTGTATTTAATAGTTATATTAAAAATTTTTTATCTCTGAATGTTCCCTATTCTTGCTTTATTGATGCAGTAACTTCTTTAATGTCCCCAAGTATACTATCTAATTTAGAGTTTTTCACTTAAGCTTTTGTCTGTTACCAAATTATCTTTTTCTTCTAGGGGCAGTTTTTCTGTTTATTTTATATTCTCTTTCTATGCCACTGTCCATTACATTTGGCATTATGTATTATCTCACGTCTTGACTCCAACAAGCAAATTTTGCCAAGAGGGAGTAACGTTCATATTTAAGAATGGAAGACTGGCTAGCTGGTTTGGCTTTCTTTTGCTGATATATAGAAATAGGTCCATTTCAGCTGAGAGTTCTCCGAGTAGGGTGAGTCACTGGCATGCCTATTGTCAGGTTACAAAGCATCAATACTGTGAGGACAACTCTTCCCACACAATTCATTCAATTTCTCTAAAAAAGAACACACACCAATTTTCTTCTACTCCATAAATGACAGAGACTGCTTATATTCTACAATGCAGGGATCAGAAGCCGCAGACACAGCTGCTTTAATTATAGACCTTCAATTAATTCACCATTTTCAGCTCCGTTCTTATTTATGCACTCCATAACATATGCCAACTCTGAGCCAAGTCTCTCCAGGGTTCCAATGGGCACACTGGCTCCTACCTTGGACTCCTTAAACAAATTATGGGCTCTGGCTTCCTTTACGTGTTATCCATCAAATCACTCTTGTCCACTTCCAATCTCCCATACTTGCTGAAATCACTTGTTTGCTGATAACACATTCCCTTCTTCTACTTCTTTTCTCTTTATGGTTTTTATTCATTCTTTACCTACTATACTTTTATTTCAATGATTCACGGTAGCCATGACATATCAATGCATATATATTCACTCTAACATCTTCAGAATTCCATATTTGACAAAATCCCCACATTTCTTCAAATGTCATCCTTACTTCTTTGCCTTAAACAGAAAGCTGCCTATCCCATGGGGTGTTACCTCTTCTGCTATAACCCTCTCAAACAGAAACTGATGTTTCTGTCATACACTGTGTACTTCAGAGTAGAGAGGAGATGATGGATAGCCTTTCTGTTCCACCGTATGACCTCTGGATCATTATCTTGCCTTCTTTGTGTAAAATCACTTGCTCTGTTGAGGCTCTCACGCTCTGGATATTATCACATGTTCTTTCTCCTCACAACAATCACCTAGCATCTCTAAACCTTTGGCTGTTGGCTGACAGTTTTCCTATCCACGCTAAAAGAACACTAGGTGACCTCAAAAGCCATGTATATGAAGCTATTCAAACTTCTGGCTTGGCCAGGCGCGGTGGCTCACGTCTGTAATCCTGGCACGCTGGGAGGCCGAGGCGGGTGGATCGTTTGAGCTCAGGAGTTCGAGACTATCCTGAGCAAGAGCGAGACCCCGTCTCTACCAAAAGATAGAAAAAAATTACTTGGACAGCTGAAAATATATAGAAAAAATTATCCGGGCATGGTGGTGCATGCCCGTAGTCCCAGCTACTTGGGAGGCTGAGGCAGAAGGATCGTTTGAGTCCAGGAGTTTGAGGTTGCTGTGAGCTAGGCTGACGCCACTGCACTTCTAGCCCAGGCAACAGAGTGAGACTCTGTCTCAAAAAAAAAAAAAAAAAAAAAAACTGGCTCCTTGGTTGCTTGCCTTCTTTGTCCCTCGAAACCTCCTCCATGTCAGCTCAGTGACCACTCCCACAGCCTCGTCCTTGATCGTGTCATTACCAAAAACTGAACCAGCTCCAAAATCACTAATACAGATAGGCAGTTCCTTCTCCAAATAAAACTACCTATTCTCCAAGCTCACTTGCTTAAGAAACCCAGCATAACAAGTATGAAGCACAGTAACATGCCCCTATGCCAACTAGCTACAAAAGTTACTTCATATCCTTCTTTACTCTTCAGATTCCCTTGTTCTTCTCACTAAAACTTCACTCTCAGCTAATAACCTTGTCCTTTCCTACACTCCACATCTCATCTCCCCTCTCCTTCTTAAAATTTTATTCTATCACTTATACAGTCTCTCTCCCACATCTTCAACCTCTTCCCTCAGCTGGCTTCCCAATA